TCTATATCTCAATTCGCTAACCGGGAACGAAACACGATTGTAATAAAGTGATTCATTATGGTACGCAATATATAATATGTTTTATATTTTATATATATGTATATATGTATGTATGTATGTATACAGGATGTTTTATTTTAATCTATTCAATATGAACTTCAGTGATAACAAATAAATTTTTATAAATGATTATATCGTAATCCGATTCAATAAGATATACAATGTTTATTACATATATATATATATATATAGATTGTTTCATTTTTATCGATTAATATGAACTTCCTTATCTCTTTCTCTCTCTCTCACTCTCTCTCTCTCACTCTTTTTCTCTTTCAGCGATAAGAAAACAATTTATATAAAAGTATTTTATTCTTTTCATTGAAAAATCGATCGAAACAAATTTAACACGAATGTTGAATAGTATTTTTAAATGAAATTTCGACAAAATCAAATTACAATTTTATTTATCCATCCAAATTATTCATAGATTATTATATCAATATATCTATAATAATTTTGATTTAATATATTATATATTATATATTATATATTATATATTCTTGTTTTACATCCATATAATGTATTCACAATATGAAATACGTAGGAGTATATTCTTAATCTATATATATATATATATATATATATATAGAATATTATATATACTTATATATACATAACACATCAGTTTTATTCCATTGATGAGATATATAAAGAATATGAAAGAGTCAAAGTCACCTTTTCAATTATCGCCTAGCAATTAATATCATAAGTGTACATTTCCAAAGACGTAATTCGTACTACTACTTTTGCATTAGCCATTATCGAGAAGAATATTGACAAAGAAAGAGTGAGAAAAAAAGAAAAAAAGAAAAAAAGAAAAAAAGAAAAAAAGAAAAAGATAGAGAAAAAGAGAGAAAGAAAATACGTAAAAGGAATTCGTCTAATCTGATTAGACAAGAAAACACGTTGCATTTGGGCGATAGGGATTCTTCGAGAACGTAGTTGAGCTTTATTGTGACTGGCGAAGCTTGCAAGCACATGCCGTTATCGATTAGCTTTCGCTGTTCTATGCGAACGTGTATATATATATATATACGTACATACATATTTACACACACACACACACACATGTACATATATATATATATATACATACGCACACACATACACATACACATAACGCATATACGTGTTATCTATGTATTTATAATATTAATCGTCATGATGCATATATAAAAATGTAAAAATAGAAGCGACTGTATAGATAGTGAAAATACTTTTCTAATTATAATTAGTATATATATATATATATTTATTTTTTTTTGCGTACTCTTTTTTCCATATTTACATTTTCGCGGTTTCTCAAATGAAACGAGAGCCTGCATTGAGTTAATTCGATATATCGAAAAATTTACATACACATATACGTACATAAATACATACATATATATGTATATATATATATATATATATATATATATATATATATGTATATATATATATATACGAGGAACGTTAGATTTTTCAAAAGTAATCGAAAGAGTGATTTAAACTCGATGACATCTGTGGATGATTTCGAGCTCTTCTACTACATGACCGTAGTAGTAGATCACTGTTTTACCGAGCAAAGGGAGCATACTATATAACTTACTCGGCCGAGGCTCGGTCGGTCGCGGTCGGTCGCATTCGGTTCGTTCGTTGGTTGGTTCGTTCGTTCGTTCATACGTTCGTTGGTTGATTCGTTGGTTGATTGGTTCATTGGTTGGTTGGTTGATTGGTTAGTTGATTCATCGGTTGGTTGGTTGGTCGAGCGATAAAGTGGCCGCGCAGTTTGAGTTCTGAAGCTGAAAGGATGATGATTCCTTTTCTCTGGATCTTTATTCGGAAGTTCTGCCTAACTACGACGAGAGGACGACCCCGTTCGTACAGGAACGAAGCTATTAATGATAAGACCCTAGGTCTTAATAATAATAATAATTTTTTTTTGAAAAAAAAAAGAAAAAAAAAGAAAGAAAAAGCAAAAAACAAATCATCCATCTTTATCTCCTTTTTTTTTAATCCCTCTTTTTTTTTAATCCCTCTTTTTTTTTTTTTTTTTTTTTGCAAACAAGCTCAATCGTTTTACTCATATTTCTTCTTTTTCTTGTTTTTCTTTTTTTTTCCTTTAAACATTTCCTTTCGTTCCTCGTTTTCTTTTTTGCTCGTTAAAAAAAAGAAGAAAAAAAGAAAAAAAGGAAAAAAAGAAAAACGGAGAAGAAAAAAGAAAAGGAGAATAAAAAGTAAAAAAGAAAAGAAAAATATATTAGCTCGAATGCGAAACGCGAGAGAGATTATTGTTGGTTAACGTAAATGTTAACCAACTTTGTACGATTAAACTCGCGGAAATTGGATCAAATTTATCTCGTCATGTATAACCAGATGTATACAGTTTATCTTAAACGCATTGAATTTTATGAGATCGGACGAGTTTACTCTTCCTCTCTTTTTCTCTCTCGCACAGGCGTGTATCTCTCTCTCTCTCTCTCTCTTTCTCTCTCTCTCTCTCTGTGGATCTTTTAAAAGATTAAACGCTTATCGGTTAGTATGTATGCACGTAAAATACGTGCATACTATATGCTACGTGTCATTTCACTCTTACATTATCAACTACGTGTTTCATAATTATTATTCTCTTTCTCTCTCTCTCTCTCTCTCTCGTTTTGGTTTAATTCAAGGAAATCTCGCCAATATTAATGTATGACGTATTTGAAAATATTTGTATGTTCGTCATCGTCATTGTCGTCATCGTTGTCGTCGGCGTGCGTAATTTTTAAATCAACATAAATGGAAATAAAGCATCGCTGGACTATCCGCGAGGTTTATAATCTTTCTTTCCTTCTTTCTCGTTTTTTAAATTATACAAAGGAAAAAAAAAAAGAAAAAAGAAAAAAGAAAAAAGAAAAAAGAAAAAAAGAACAGACGACAAACAGAGACAAAGAGAGATAATTAAAATATCATCAAAAGATTCAACAAATTCGTAATGATTTAGATTCCGTATTCATAATTTATATTCGCGGAATCGAATTAGTTTCCTTTTTCCTGTTTTATTTTTTTCTTTTTTTCTCATTTGCTATTTTTTTTCTGTTTCATATCGCTACACAATCCACTCGGTTAGAAATATTTTCCTCTGTGGAATATCTAATTATGCGCTTATTTTTCTATCTTTTTTCTTTTTTTTCTTTTTTTTTTTTTTTCTTTTTTTTTCTTTAAACGTTTCACACGCGCTCAGACATATATATATTTTTCGTTTATTAAATTATTTCAATTCTTCTTTCTTTTTTTTTTTTTCTTTTTTCTTCTCTTTTTCTTTTCTTCTCTGTGCGTTCAGATATTAGAAATATCTTTTTAGAAAATACTAATCATTTCACTTTTTTTCTTTCGAATGTTATCTCAACGTGATTAAGATATTGAGAATAATGGTTTATACGTTTTGCGTTCACGGTCAGATTTGATCTTAGAAGAAAGGAGAGGAACATGCCGGTTGGGAATGTGTAAAAAAAGTCGTATGGATAGTAAGGATTTCTCGTTGGTAGCGAGCCTGCGAACGAGTTTCTTTCTTATTTCGAACGAAGGGTAGGAGGGGGAGGGAGGGGACTCGAACTTCGTCTTCCTTCCATCGAGGATTGCTTTCCATCGAATGCAGTAACTTTCTAATCCGTACGACGTAAATGTGAAGAGGAGACGAGACATCCTCGTGTTCTTATTTGGTAGTTAACCTTTTACGATTGAATTATGTATATATAATATATATATATATAAAGCTATGTATGTGTGCTTGTATGTGTTTGTATTCCTTGATATATCTGATTATATAAAATATATATAAATATGTATATATATATATATATATATATATAATGTGTGTATATATAGATTATACTAAAATAAAACAATTAAATTTTTATTATTCAATATTTACTTTATATACATATATGTATATAATTATTTATTTATTTAAATTTATATACATCCACAAACACATTGTTTTCATTATATACGCATACACGCACACACACACACACATACACATACATATTGTAATAATGTAATAAGAGTGGAGAAACGATTTAGATTCGCGCCATTAATTCAAATTTCTTCAGTAGTTCGCAGAAGCGATCGGTAATAGATTGGCGCATCGAATGTATTCCAGGAAGAAACGACGACGTAAGGAAAGAAATAGAAAATGAAGAAGTTGCTTATATAGAGATAATTTCTTCTTCTAGGAATAAAGTTTCATTAGGTATATCTATCGTAGAAATTAATTCCTTATTAAGGAGTATTTCATTTATTTTCTTCTTCTTCTTCTTCTTCTTCTTTCTTTTTCTTTTCTTTTTTTCTTCTTCTTCTTCTTCTTATTTTTTCTTTCTCTTTCTCTCTTTAACAAACTCTCCAAAATTATTATTAAATCTATTATCGGTACGATCGATGTAAAATCGTTCTTTATTTTCTTTTTTTCTTTTCTTTTTTTTTTTGATTTAAATAAAATTGAAAAAATAAATAAATAAATAAAACATGATTAAAGTACGCACCATATTTATTTTCCAAATGTATTATTATTATTCATTGTTCGACATAATAATGCGGCTGAACGAATGAAACTTGAATAAAATTCATTATAATTTGATTTATATAAATTTGTTTAATTCGACGATAAAGAAAGAAGAAGAAAATAATAAACGTCACGTTTTATTTATTTAATATATATATATTAATTACTCATTACTTATGATTAACAGATTAATTATATTTAATATAAACGATTGAAATTTTGCTTTTCGAAGTTGGTCGATATAACAAAAGCAAAATAAATAAACAAATAAATAAACAAACAAACAAACAAACAAATAAATAAATAAATAAATAAATAAATAAATAAATAAATAAATAAATAAATAAATGTATTATTGTTTTCTAAGTATGGTTCACCTATTTTTTTTTCTTTTTTTTTTTTTTTGTTAAATAAAAATTCAAATATTAGAGTTAATTCTGAAATTGATTTCGAATGTTCCACATGTAATAATAATTGTCGATGACAAATGAGAGATATCGGGATTACGTTCGGCCGAGATTCTTTGCGCATTCCAGCGAGCAGCAGGACACTCTCTTAGCGATAACTCCGAACGAACGAACGAACGAACGAACGAACGAACGAACGAGTACGTAAGTACCGAACGAACGTAAGAACGAACGAACGAACGAACGAACGAACGAACGAAGAGAGCAGCACGAAGAACATTTGCGGATAGACGGAGGGGCTATTTAAAGATTCTCGCTGCATTCAAATCGTTGTCACGTGACCGCTGGCTAGCTGCCGTTTCTTTGTCGCCAGGAACGAATCTCCCTTGGCGACCCTTTAGCAAATAATAGAGGTAGTTAGCCTGTCTATGTTTTCTCATTCGTTGAAAAGAAAAAAGATCTTTCAACAATTTAAATCCATATACAATAAACTCGTTCAAACGATTGGAATGTATTTTTATTCGATTAAAAGATAAAAGAAAAAGGAAACAAAAAGAAAGAAAGAAAGAAAGAAAGAAAAAAAAAGAAGCAGGAAAATCGTAACAAGCGCTCGAATGATCTGCTATATTTCTTTTTCTTTTCTTTTTTTTCTTCCTTTTTTTTTTCTTTTCTTTTTTTTTTGCAGACGTTTATGCAGACGTCATAGCGAAAAAGAAAAAAAAAAGTGTGTATATAGATATACATTAACCATTACATATTAATAACCATTTGTTCTCTCTTTCTCGCATATATATATATATATATATATATATATATATATATATACATCCGGCCATTTTTCTTTTTCATATATCCGCCATTTTGATCCAGATCGAGGATCGATCCGAATAACTACTCTATTCTATTTCATATGATATTCATTAAATGGCGTATTAACGATACTCGATGGTCATTCATTTTCTAAGAGTTTAGTCGCTGCTTCTCGCCAAGAGATAACATTCTGGCTATCATTCGAGAGAAAAGTTTTTATATGTAAGATACACGTCGGTCATGGATTTGCAGTGAGTTTATCGTATGGTTTTGGTATCTCGATCGGTGAGAAAGCTTCGTTCCTCGTTTTAAATTTACCGATCTCGAGAGTCCTGCCCTCGATTCCTGTAGTCGCGTCGAGACGGTGCTGAGGTCGAGTCTCTGACGATTCTATGGTAGAGGAGGACGATTATACTTAGCACACACACACACACACACACACATAAACACACACACACAAACAGTCATATACATTGATATACCGAGATGGCAGGTAGCTGTGAGAAACGTACGAAAGGACGCACAGCAAGCAATCTTTTTTATTCTCTTTCCCCTCTTTTTTTTTCTTTCCTTTTCACCTGGAAAGTCAGCTCTCGCTTAAATTCTTATTCTTCGTGCCCGATTGGTGGATAACTTTTGGCAGAGCGACGAGTGAAGATGGTAGGGGAGGAAGGGAGGGGAGAGAAAAGAAAAAAAAAAAAAAAAAAAAGAAAGAGAAAAAGGAGGAAGAAAAGAAGAGATAAAAAAAAAACTCTTTTCGTTTTCTCGAAAAAGAAAAGGAAAACCTTTTCAAAAGGAAAATTATCCATTTCAAAATCAATATATTTCTAATTATCCTGATTACTTCTTCATTCTTCCCTCTTATTCACCTTATACACTTTTACCACGTTCAGCCATGAAAGCGAGAGAGAATTTGTCTGATTACTTTCGTCGTTCGAAGTAGTTCAATTAATATGACGATTAAGTTATAAGACAGACTTTCACTTGGTTCTCGAAAGAAGAAGTTTCTTTTATCTTACTATCATTTCCTTTCTCTCTCTCTCTCTCTCTCTCTCTCTCTCTTTTTTTTTTGTCGTTTACAAAAATCCAACGTCAAAGGTTCAACATTGTCAAACAATTGTTATCGTAAGGTGCCAATGAAGAATGTGACCTGGTAAATGTGAAAAATGTATTATTAATCTGCACCTGTCTAATCCAAGAAACTATTTACAATTGGATTTGAAACGGCCTGTAGTAACCGCGGCAACGTAAACTCGTAAGCAATTCGACGAGAGAGAGAGAGAGAGAGAAAGAGAGAGAGAGAGAGAGAGAGAGAGAAAAAGAGAGAGAGGGAGAGAGTATTGACCGTCGTCTCGGAGAGCGAGCACAGTGGAAATTTCCACTGCCCTACCTCAAGACTCCACGTTGTTTAACTGTGTGCACTAACACACGTAGATAACCGCAATGTTCCAACGTTTCCTTTTCCTCCTCCTCCACCTCCTCCTCATCCTCATCCACCTATACCTCCTCCTCCTCCTCTTCCTCTTCTACCACATATATCTTCACCTCCACCTATACTTATAGACTTATACCTATATCTCTCCACCTCCTCATCGTCCTCCTCAAATGCAAAGCCTCCTCGTCGTCCTCCGTTGTTGAAGTTATGCCGCATGACTTTTTGCGCCGTTCTCTCTCTTCTCTCTTTTCTTTCTCTCTCTCTTTCTCTCTCTCTCTCTCTCTTTCTCTTTTTCACTCTCTTTCTCTCTTTGCAACGAGCGCTGCGTTCCAAGACTTCGAAGTATGCCTTTGCACTGCGCTTCCATCTATATCGATGATCTTGCACAGAGAGAGAGAGAGAGAGAGAGAGAGAAAGAGAAAGAGAGAGAATCGTTCTCAAGGTCGCACTTTTTTCTTTCTTTTTTTTATCTCTTGAGAGATAGATAGAGAGAGAGAGAGAGAGAGAGAGAGAGAGAGAAAGAGAAAGAGAGAGAGTCGGGGTGCTTTTTTCCAAACTTTCTTAGGATAAAATACAAATGGAGTTCGGGTATGGTGTATGGCAACCGTAACGCCATCTACGTACATTTTACAAGATCAGAAGATTCTTCTTATCCTGATATTTTTGGAATCAGATTTTTATTAAGAGCCATGGTATTTGTAATATTTGTTATAATTATTGTTACACTTGTTAGATGATTGGTTGGTTGCTGTTGCTGTTGTTGTTGTTGTTGTTGTTATTGTCGTCCTCGTTTTCAAGTCTAATATTTAAAAGATAATTTAACGTTTTGATTTCACAATTTAACGATGGATGACTGTTCTCTTTGATTGTTGCGTAACGACGGAGGCAGACAGAGATAGATAGAGAGAGAGAGAGAGAGAGAGAGAGAGAGACCGGTTTCAAATCTATTTCCGTAAATTGATTCTGCCTTAAACAGACAGAGAGAAAGAGAGAAGCTAAGAATATTGTATTTATGTATCTATTACAGACGATTAGGCTGCTAGCTGACTTTCCTGGTTTGAAAATGAAAAAGCAAATGGTGGTTATTGATAATCCCAATGAGCGGTTATCTTTCGTCGTAGCTGTATTCACCTTTCGTTCACACGATCTACGTATTCTTCCGTTATTGATTTTTCTTCAGGTGTCAGCCACGAATCCGTTTTCCACGGTGTCCAATAACATTCCTCATCGTCGCAATAGTTTCACGCAGTAAGAATTTTCTTCTCGTATGTATAATATATGTGTGCGTGTGTGTGTGGGGTGTGTTTGTGTGTGTGTATGTATGTAAGCGAAAGAAATTGGAAAGTTTCTTGATCGTTTCTCTGTTAATACGATTCGTTGGTCGGTTAAAGATGAGAACCACTGGCATTGCGCGTAGGTAAGTAAGTAAGTAAGTAGGTAGGTATTTAATACTTATTACGAAGCACTGTAATATCTTTTTTCGAAGAGAAAAATGAGTTGAAAAATGAGGAAACGAAAAGAACAAAATAAAAAAAAAAGAAAATTATAGATAAAAAGGTATTACAAAGCGAATTGAGTATGACCTTGGTTTTAAGGCGAAGGTAAGCATTAGGATGTTTACGACGATTTTGCTTTGCGACATTTTGGTGGGACTCTCGAAGTTATGCGCATTTTGTCCCTGTGTCTCTAGCCATAGGTATATGTGTATGTATGTACGTATGTATTTGGACATGTATATATATGTACATATATATATATATATACATACGTGGTTTTGCAAACGGGGAAAAGGGAAATCTGAGATGGAACAAGCGATTTCTGTTGACGGGTTGCGACGAAGAGAAACGTGAGGTAGTGTGTGTGTGTAAGAATGAGAGAGAGAAAGAGAGAGAGAGAGAAAGACAGAAAGAAAGAGAGAGAGAGAGAGAGAAAGGGAGAGAAAGAGACCGAACGCCTGTTTCTATTTTTAGCTAAGCGCCGTCCTTCGCTTTTACGTAACGCCACGAAAGAATAATGTTTGCCGTTCGCGTGCGGCCTAATCGGACCGTTGCGTCGCAAACGCATAATTCTTTGAAAGGTCTGCTAAAGTGATGACGCATTGGATTATTGTAATCCATCATGTAAACGCATACCTCGTTTTATTTTCATATCCGTTCATACGTTGATGCGTTTCATTTTAAATGAGGGACATCTGGATTAATAAGAAGCATAACTCTTAAAGGACATGGAATTCTATTCTTTTGGTAGTTTGATCGATCGGAGATACAATCGTTTAAAGTTACATAGTGTCCATTTACGATTACTCCTCCATCTGTTGAGAAAATGTTCATTTTGTTTTGTGTTAGTATGGGCAGTCGATAAGGTAGGAAACTGTTCTCTCTCTTTTTCTTTTTGATAAATGCATAGATCGCGTCTTTATCGATAGTGGATAATCGATAACGTAAAAAAACTCAATTGGACAATATAAATAATTTCTATATCGATAATGATTATCGTCGGTAATGTAGAGAACAGGTAAGCGATGATAAAAAAAGGTGTTATCGAATCTGTTTTACCGTATCTAGGTATTTTTATCCCTTTTCGAGTTTACTCTTTTTATCGATTAAATATTTAAAAAAAAAAACCCTTTTTATTCGATATAGACATTTGAAAAGAAAATAATTTTTTTTAAGCGTAATCCTTTTAAATCATCCTATTAACGTTTAGACATTTTAAATAACATATAAATGACTTTTATGGCTTCATTCATTACGAGAAGTACCGTTTTTTTTCTCTTTTTTTTTTTTTTTTTTTTTTTTTTTTTTTTTTTTTTTTTTTTTTTTTTAGAGCGTGCGTCAAGAGATTAATAAAGTCTTCACGACAATATTATTTATGAATAAAATCATGGAAAAGAAAAAAAAAATAAGAAATAAAAAAAGAAAGAAAGAAAGAAAGAAAGAAAAAAAGAAAGAAAGAAAGATCTCATTACCTTACGTTGAAAACTTTTTTAACGAAGAGAAAAGAAGAAAAGATAGAAGAAGAAAGAAAAAAAAAAGACGTATGCATATTATACGTAGCCGACGATTAATTAAAAGGGATCGTCCTTTTTTTTTTCTTTTTTTTTTTTTTTCATTTCTCTTCTATTTTTTATTTTCTTCCTTTTCTTTTTCATTTTATTTCCTTCCACCGTTATTTTTCTTCTTCTTCTTCTTCTTCTTCTTCTTTAAAGCGTTGCATCCTTTCGAAAGATTCGTTTAGCGTGACGATGGTTGTCGCGGAAAAGGGATGAAAAGCTTCCTCTTGCAGTTCTCTTTCTTAGGTTTATGACTTTTTCAACGTACCGGAAAGAGCAAACTCGTCGAGAAGTGAGAGAAAAGTTTCGTTGGCAGCTGAGAGGGTAGTTTTCATCGCGAGGATACGCGGTACATAACGTAAATTCAAGAGGCAACTATGAGGGGATGAGAATGAGAGAGAGAGAGAGAGAGAGAGAGAGAGAGAGAAAGAACGAGGGAGAGTGAAAAATGATTGAAAAATTAAATCGCTACGTCCAAACTTTTTCGCTACGACTTTTCTTTCTATTCTTTATTTTGTTTCTCTCTGTTTCTTTTTTCCTTATTTATTTATTTATTCCTCAGATCATCTTTTTCTTTTTCTTTTTCTTTTCATTCTTTTTTTCTCTCTCTCTCTCTCTCTCTCTCCTTTTACTCTCTCGTGATTATTATTTATCGAACGGTCCCTTCGATAGACGAGTGAAATGAAACCTTTTCAAAGTATTTTTCTTTCTTTCTTTTTTTTTTCTTTTTGTTTTCTTTTTTACATGAGATCCCATTTGACAAATACAATGCGAGATTATTCTTTTCTTTTTCTTTTTTTTTTTTGGTTCTTTTTTTTGTTTTCTTTTTTTTTTTTTTCTATTTCCTCCTCATCTCGAAAAATTCAACTCATTAAAAAAAAAGGTTTTCACATTACTTTCAACGTTCATCCTTAATTAGCGTCTATTAATATGTATCTCTGCTAATGGACTACAGTTATTAATCAACATTGCACAGTGATCTTTGCGTATTATATCGCTTTTCGTAATCTTCCAACAAATTAGTACGAATAATCCCGTCGTGGAAAGACGACGTTTACCACATGGGAAATCAGCTATCTATCGATATACAATATCGATTGGAACTTATAGAGGATTGCTATTTCTTTCCTTCTCTCTCTCTCTCTCCCTCCCTCTCTCTCTCTCTCTCTCTCTCTCTCTCTCTCTCTCTCTTGCTGTCTGTCTGTTTCTCTTTGAGAGGATTATCGTCAATTCGGCTGTCCCACTTTTACTTATTTTTTTCCCTCTTCATTTTATTTTTCATTCTTTCTTTTTCTTTCTTTCTCTCACTCTTTCTCTCTCTTTCTCTCTCTCCCACTCTGTTACTGTCTCTATCTCTTTTATTCATCGACTCTTCGGCGAATGTAGAGTATAACTTTGATATTTCAGTTTGAAGAAGGAGGGTCCGCTAAATTGTATTTATGCTAGGACGGAATACGCTTAAATTAGGGTGACTAATTTCATTGAGTTAACATTTGCTAAGAGGGTCGAATAAAATTATTATATCTTCTTTTAGACATTTTTATTACTTACGTACATATAATACTCTCGTATAAATAATAACTAAAGTTTTTCATAATATTATCAATGATTTTTAAGAATTCAATTCGTAGAACAAACTTCGTTATATACTGGGCTGGATCGAAATTTTTTACTGGGTACTTGCAATTTTACTATCCGAGAGAGAAAGAGAGAGAGAGAGAGAGAGAGAGAGAGAGAGAGAGAAAATAGAAACAAATAAAATAAGTTTCGAAAAAGAAAAAAAGAAAAAGAAAAAAAAAGGAAAGAAAAAAGAAACAACCTACCTTTGAAATAATTTATCTAATGTCTCTAATGTCTCTAAATTCGTTCGATCTTTTGATCCTTGGCCTATATTTTCGAACGACCTTCACAATCATAATTTGAGATATAACGATACGAGACCAGTTATTCGTTCTTCTCACTACCTCTCTCTCTCTCTCTCTCTCTCTCTCTCTCTCTCTTTTTCTATTTATCTTTCCATCTCTCTGAAATAGTTAACATAAAATCTATGATTGCTCGTTGAATTCATCAGTGCGAAATTTCCAATAACCAACTCATGTATATACACGGTCGTTTGTAATATCGCTAATTATCCTCGGATCGGCAAAATTGGAATTAGGTTAATGCAAACGATACTTCAAGCTCTTGCTCTCATCAACCTTATCTCCTAATTTCACGAACTCTTGATTATATGTAATTAATATCAATAGTTTATAAAGGAAGACGAATTGTACGATCCGCTAATTTGATCAATTATTATTATTCTTCCTTGGGATAAAGCGTTGATCTACAAATATTTTCACGATAAATATACTTTATCGATCAAATAGATCATTATTTGTTTGTTCGTACGTATTTCCTTTATCATTTTATTCCACTTCTTCCTTTCTCTTTTTTTCTCTTATTTTCTTTCTTTTTTTTTCCTTTGTTTTTTTTTTCTTTTTCTTTCTTTTTCTTCTTTCTTCTTTTTTTCTTTTCTTTCTCACTCGATATATACGCATAAGAGATACATATATCTTTTAATACAGATAGATTCGAAAGTCCTTAGTCTTGTAGTTTTATAATCCGGACAAAAAAAAGAGAAGAAAAGAAAAGAAAAGAAAAGAAAAGAATCGATCGTAAAAAAGTTTGGATGAAGTTTTTTAATCGATTTCTTTTTTCTTTTTTTTTTCCCCAAAGAAAAAAAAAAAAAAAGGAAAAAAAATTAAGCGCACAAACTTTTGCCTCATCGCGGTATATCGGAATAATAAATCTATCGACAAGAAGCTTTTCATTGCTTGTGAATTTTTATAGAAATTTTTTCGACAAAAATCCTTACCTTACCGCGATAAGATATATTGAATGAGAGGATTTTTCGTAACAAGGTCGAAGGAGCGTAACTTTTAATGAAAATAATTTCACGCAGATTTTCATTGTCCGCTTCATAGACAATTTTCATTGTCCGCCTTGATGGACAAAAACGCGAAGCAGGAAAAAAGAATAAAAAGAAAGAAAGAAGAAGAAGAAGAAAAAAAAAAAAGAAAAAAAAAGAAAGAAAAAAGAAAAAAGAAAAACAAAAGAAGAAAAAGAAAAAAAAAAAAGAAAAGAGAGGAAAGAAACATGTTACGTTATATTACAAAAAACGATTTTGTTATCGTTTCTTTTTCTTTCGTAAAAATACAAATACACGTGATA